AGCGAGTCCAGGGGAGGCTGCGTAGGGAAAGCAGTCAACGCTGCGATCGAAGAACGGGGAGCAGTTCACTCCGCGAAGAGAAGAGGAAAAGTGTTTCAGGCACGAGTAATACAGTATCTTCCAAAGTCGTAGGCCAGAGAAAGGGGCCCAAGCTGGAAACTGCAAGTGGTTTATTCAGGCTGAAATGTAGAACCGCGAAAAGGAATCATCCAGTAGAAACAGTGTGAGTCACATGGATCTGTAAGTTTTCTGTAGCCATATTAAAAAAGGGAAAAGAAATAGGTGATTTAATTTTAATGGTGTATTTTATTTAATGCAGTGTATCTACAATAGTATTTCAACGGGTGATCAACATAAAAATTGTTACTGTACACTGTCTTTGAAACCCAGTGTGTATTCTCAGTTGGGACTAGCCACACTTCAGGCGCTCAGAAGCCACATGTGGCCAGTGGCTACCTTATTGATCAGTGCAGTTCCCAAAGATAACTGGGGGCTAGAACATACGAAGCACCTGCTAAACCACATGTAAGAGTTGGGATATTTTGAGGGCAGTGATGCCATTTTAATGAGTTTTAAGCGAACAAGTGATAGGTAGGGCCATTGTGAAGTTCTGTCAGGCTGTGTGTAAGAAGAATGAATCAGATGGGGAAAGTCCAGAAACATGGCTGTTTTATCCCTTTCCTACACCACATTCCCTGCTACTCCAGCCCACAGTGATATATCTTGCCTATTTAATGTCCAGTAGACCTTTCAAATTTGGGGGGATGCAGACAGTTCTTTGTTGTACAGGTTTGTCTCATACATTTTAGGACTTCCAGGATCAATAGTCCTCCATCCAAGTGTCTTACCTTCTACCCAAATTATTGTGACACCAGATTTTCAAAATGTCCCTAAAGGCCTGTTCTGCTTATGTTGGGAACCATTGGTCCAAGTATTGACCAATGATGAGGTAGAAGATAGGAGAGTTGATGATGGTAACTTTGGGGAATTTGGAAGTACTGAAAGTGATGGGAAATTGACAAAGGGTAAGTGTTAAGAAAGAATAAATGACCAAGGTGTGGAACATATTCAATAATCTTTTTGAAAATAGTAGAAAATAAAATGTTTTTCAAGGAGTCAAAAATTTTTTTTCATACATTTTTTTTAAAAGATGCAATTTTAAGTTTTTGAAATATATATCTGCAGTAGATGTTAAATAACTTTTTCTCAAGTAAGCTTCTCTTTAGGAACTAAGACTTAATGTGTTTAAGAGGTTAAAAATAGAAAAATGTAGGCAAAAATACCCGTGTAGTACCTTGAATAAAATAGTAACTTACAATTAATTGTTAATAATTAGAGGTCATGGTAAAACTTTGCTTTAGCAAAGCTGGTTCTCATAGAAAAGTAGGAAAGAAACTTTAAAGTTAAAAAGAGAATAGCATCAATTTTTAAAGCAATTTGAACAAAAATCACTGTGTATGAGTGGTAGCCTTTTAGTTTCTAGTACTTTCCTGAATAGTATAACTCCTAGTGTTATTAGGATAGTGCAGCAATTTTCAACTGGTGTGCTGCAAGAATTTTTAAAACATGCGATAACCTGACTACTTATGGGTACTGCTGACCTCTTTTCCCTTAGGTTGTCAAATAAAAAAATGACAACAGCCAGTACAACAACAATAGTTATTTGGTGTGAATGAATCAAAATTGTACCCTTTTTTTTTTTTTTTGGTCAGATCGGCAAAAAGTATATTTTCCAGTGTGCCGCAGAATTTTAGTAATTAGCTTATGTGTGCCATGAGGTGAAAAAGATTGAAAATTGCTGGGATAGTGCAGTGTATAAGAAAATTAGCCACACATGTTTCAGTATGAGCAAA